CACTGAAAAAAAATGATGTTGTACAACAGTATTGTTTTATTCATATATAAAATGTTTTATTTATATATAAATTTCGTTAATAACACCATTAATATAAATACGTTATACTCTTATGTTATTTTAATAAAGTGTTATTTGTTTCATTAATAGTGTTACTGAATTAACAAAATTATTTTCAATTAAAACAATATTGTTGACACACAATTTTTTTACAATGTATAAAAAATGACTGGTTATTTTCAAAAAATAAGCAAATAAATAAAAGTAAATCATATGATTTATATATGACGATCGCATATTTTCTATGTTCTATATATAGTGATTATGCATGACATAGTTGTTTTCCTGATCTCGCGATTTATTAGTCACATACATTGGGAATGTTATCAACTTAAAGAAATTTGTCCTTGAAAAATTAAAGTGCACTTCAATCTATGCGGTAAGACACGTTCGATTTGCGCAAACCGGCGCATTATATTACGTTAAACGTCATGAACAGATAACAAGCACGATTGTACTTATCGTGATCGTCGTTATCGTAGCGTTAGTTGTCGGAGGTCGTCGTTATCGCAGCCGCTGTTCCACCAATCCAATTGAAATCCACGAGCAATGTCACAATTATACACACGATTAATAATTTAGTTATTTATTTCAAACGATGATATAAAAGATTAAAAATTACTCATTAAATTATCAGTGTGACAGAGTCTTTACAATCAAATAAATTTTCAAGAAAAAAGCTATGCGGCAATTTTGATATCTAAAATGTATTAGTTGAAGCAGCCATTTTATAAACATAATAGGTACAAAAAAAAACTTTGCTGAAAAATATATCTCTCTCTCTAGAAATAGTAAAAATTTAGTTAACTATGAAAAATTTAGCTACATTGGAAAAAGAATATGCATTAATTAACAATTTGATTGAAAATTAACAAATCAGAATTTTCTGGTTGAGTCTATTATAATTCTAATTGAAATAATTTAGAATTCTGATTGCTATGATCAGAATCTTCTGGTTCATTTATTTTCAATCAGAAATTTTGTTCAATGTACAGATCTAAAAATAATTTTACTGCATCATCAAAATATTCACGTAAGAAGACTAAAGCTCAAGATGGCTAAAATATTTACTTTTAAAATTTTTTGCAACAATGCTCATGATAATCCAGTCTTACATAATTATTTTGATAGTCCAACAAAATTATTTTCAGATCTGTATCTAACTAAATTTTTAGATATTCCAACAAAGCCATTTTTGCATTGAAAAAAATACTACATTTTAATAAATATTTATTTGAATAGTTTTAAGTAAATATTTATTAGATGTAAATATATATTTATTTAATACAAGAACCATTAATTTGATTTGACTATCATTTTTTCCTGAATATAAATCTTAATATATATTATTCAAATAAATATGTATTAAAATTTAATAAATTTTTTCTTTAGAGTAGATATTCATGTTTGATATATTGACAATTATTTTATATCACAAAATATTACATCCATATTATATATTTTTTCCAGAAAATATTCTAGAACTTATTTGTCAATTTATTGTAAAAAATCTTGTTTGCTTTTCAATATCCATTAATTTTTATTACGTATGCTTAGATCATTTATACCATATTTCTTAATAGACAGAATTTGTGATTTATCGCGCATTGTGATAATAAAACAAAAATATGAAAGATGGTAAAGGATTATGCAAACGATAGTCACGATATCCTTATATCGAGCAGAAAATTACTAATTTACAGTCCGACACAATTTGCCTAATCGAAATATCCTCCCATCACTGCGATGGGATCGTCTTGATTAACGTAGATACAGCTGTTTGATCAAAGTGGAGTTGAACTGAATTGAAGCTTTGCGGAGATCTGTAAAAAATTCGCTGATACAGCGGCGCTATGACGCAACCGGAAAAATCTCTCGCCGTAACAATTTCATACGATGTTGTAATAATTCCGTTAAGATCAAATTGCTTCCAAATATAGCAAAATCGAATAAACGATTAAAATTCACATTAACGAGGAAATCGAGAAAACATAAAATATAATATTTTTTTAAACAGGATATTCAAATAGGTATCGTTATATATATTTTATAATATTAAATATTTCGTAATATAATATATTACCACGTAAATAATCAGACAAATAAAATAGACACGTGTAAAAAATTTATACTTTATCTTTGATGTAATTCTTTTAAAGTCTGCACAACAAGATATCATTTATATAATTAACTATAATGTATGTACATGTACATCTAAATAAATGTAACTCGATATGAATTATGTTTTATACTTAACATGATTGTCTATTTCCAAGTGTTCTTATTTTACAACTAGTCACCGAGAGACAGACAGAAAGAGAGAGATATGCAAACGGATGTGCAACAAGTAAACGTTAATCATCACGATCTTAAGCCCGTATCAAACTACGGATTAACAATTAAAACGGGAGTATACAGAGTCTTGATGAATAACACATAACATATAATAATGAGAAAATGAATCATTCAAAGTTCTTCATTTCCTCCCTTCCCATGAAATAAAAAATTGATTGATTTTCTTATGCTTATGCATTATGCGTTATGCACAGGTCTGTGCTCCTGCTCTTACGATTGACGGTTGCACGGTTTTATTTCAGTCAACAAACACGATGAATTTCACTGCATCGTAATTGCAGTTAAAATAAAACAAGGCAACTATCAATCGTAATCGTTAATTCATAGTCTAATACGGAAATAATTAAGGCTAAATCTTGATCGTGCACATTCCTCGATAAGTTCGACCTCAAAATACGATTTAACAAATACTGCGTTCTAATAACTAGAATCTGTTGTGACAAGGAATTCGAACTAGGTTTTGCCAAAAACAAAGTATCCATTTTTATCTTCAAAAAGCAGAAATTTATACTTTACACCGTTGTTGAATAATAAAATAGCGATATATCCATCGATAGATTATCTTTGAGTGTAAAAAATTTTATGGATGTAAAAATAAATGATTTTCCATCGTGACGTCAGATTTCATATATTTGACTAGAATCCGCCCACAATGGTAATCTCGCTGGTTTTGTCGGCATGCAGAAAAGGACGTGCAACAAGTCCTCGTCAATGGCCTCTTTCGGACATTCCTCCTCTTCCGACATCGCTACGTCAGCAGTGACGCATGACTTCCGCTACGTCACACCGACGCGCCAACGCTCGATGACGTACAACTTTCCTCGTGCACACCGCAACCCTCCCACGCAATCCATCCCCGAGCACACCACCCTTCTGTGCAGTTTACTGCAAATACCATCCGATCGCATCGGTTATTAATTATTACGTGAACAGCAAATATTGAAATGTGCGATGATGCAAGAAAGCGGAAATTCTAGAAACACGTGTCGTTATTTAGAGCGTTTCGTGGAATGGACGAAAATTGCAATTAATGAATCGTCATAAACGATCAAACGTATTCGTGCAACTCAAAGTCACGAGGTTATCGCACAAACGTTATCAATCCAACGATAACGCTTTTTAAAATTAATAAAATTCTCGACTTATAGAAAATAAATGAGATTTAATATCTATTTCATTTCACTTAATAGGTATAATACACTTAACCCCCGTAATATACATATTTTTTGTGACGCTAAAAGAACATGAGGGATCCTTGGAGAACCCATCAAAGTTTTTTATAATCAGTTTTAGAAGTTTTAAAATTTTCAACTATATAAAAAATTGCAACACTTAAACTTCGAATAACTGCAGTATTATGATAAGCCTGTGATATGTGAATAAAACGAAACTATAGGTCTGTTCTTTATTCCTGTACTCTTTGAACAAACGTATATTTATTTTACTTCAACCAGTAGGTTGCACCAGTTCAGACAGTGCAAGAAGAAAGAACAGACCGTATGAAAAAATAAGAAAAATTGTGCAACATTAAATTATGCTAAATTATACTATTTAAAACTTAGGAAAGTACCTCAGGGTCATCAAGACTTAAATGTTCCAATTACAGGTTAAAGGTCATTTAATAATCTTAATATTTGTATATTTATACAAAATAGATTAATAAATCTCTTCGGCGTTAATTATATATCTCCTACATATATAATTTGAGCAGGCAAATATCTTGATGCTGCTGACAATAATCGACAAATCAGGAAGTAAAGAGTCTGTGAGATTTAAATCTTAAGGAATTCTAAAGAAACTTCACGATGATGGAAGTGGACGGACGCACCTATCTATCCCGCTCTTTCTTTCTCTCTCGGATCCTTTGTGTATTTGTAACTAACTCGGGAAGAAAAGTGGGAATAGCGGGACGTTAAAGAGAGAAGGGTAGGGAAGGGAATGGAACAGAGAGAGGAAGGGAGACGCGAAAGTCCCTCTCTATTGATTTCCTGCCGAGAGTGGGCCGAGAGTGGGCTAACCAAGGGAGGATTAGGTATCGGCTCGTCTCTCCGCAGCGTCTCTTTCATCCCTCTGCCACCCTTCTTCGTTTCTTCGATGAGTCCGGAGTAATTTAGCAAAAGCTGTCCAAACGAGAATAGAAGACCACCGAGAAGTTTAACGAATAAAACAGAGAAACTCCTTATTAAATGAAAAAAAAAGATGCATAAGTTTTGTAAGGTCAAAAAATTTAATCCGCCTAAAGTCGAGTCAATAAAGAGCTGCCTGTGATTATAAATTCTGAAACTCCTCGTAAATCACGAACTCGGAACAAGAAAAAATTTTTGAACACTGCCATGTTAATGTGATGCACACACAATAATACAATATAGAACGGATAATAATGTCAAGGTATAATACTGCACTCGTGTGATTAATTGTAGAATTCAAAAATTAGCACAAATACGGGTCGTTAGAATCAATCAATAAATCCAAAAAAGTTAGCAAACGTTCTGGTACAGACGCAGAAGTATACGTCGAGATGATAAAATCGAGACGAGTGAAATTACATTGGATTGGAAAAAAAAATCAGCGTCAGGAGAAAGAGAAAGAATCGAAAAAGAAGCGTCAGCGTATCTTCTATGTGCCTCCCAATGCCCCTATTTCTCTCTTTCTCTCTCTCAACTGACCTCCTCTCCATCTCTCTTCCTCCGCGGACCTGTCGTGTCCTACATCCTGCTCGCTCTTCGAAGCCGGTCGAAGCTTCGCGGTGGTAAACGGCGTAGCTACAACGTGCCGACGAGAGAATGAGAGCGGCGGCGACGGCGGCAACCACTCTCGTCGTATTGGTCGCACGGCAGTTCTGTAGTACGAGCGATAGTGGTGGTAGTAATAGTAGTACCACCGCAGACCTGCCCACGACGAGAGTAAACGGCGAGAGTATTATTAGCAGTAGCGTCGACACGCGACTATCGTCACTACGCGACCTGTAATCGCGCCGCGCCGATATCGACGTATCGGTCGCGCCGACGACGCCGACGACGCCGACGCCGACGCCGACGCTGCGCCGATCATACGCGCCGGTTACAGGTAGGTGTACCTCCGTAATGCCGGGCTACTATGATGTAATACGCGTATAATAAGCGGAATAATGACGATGTTTTTTCGGCGTACGGTCATCGTTTATCCTCGATTTTGCCGAGATATAGCGTGAGAAATAGCAAAAGAAGCATCGTGAAGTACTGAATAATAACATTGGCATTTTGCCATGCACGATTATCGTATCTAATATTCCATATACTTTTATCGTAATTAGAGCGTTACCGTTTTCTTTAATAGCAACGATATAAAATGTTAAAAGGCTGTTATTTAAATAAATATTATCAATTATGAGTATTATAATCGATTCTTTATCGCAATGATTTTTTTCCTTGATTACATCAAAATCTGCTTTCCCTATTATTTGCCCTATCATTCTGAATTTCTTTTTCTTTAATTGCAATGTGTTATAAATTGTCTTTGAAAAATGTTGTTATTTAATATATAAATATTATATATATTTATAAATATTATCAATCAACTTTATATAGATTTTTTGCTGCAATGATTTCTTTTCCCAGCTACTCGAAAGTGAAATTTATCCTTTCTTTATTATTTGTTCAATCGTTTCTAACTTTCTTTTTCTTTAATTGCAATATATTATAAAATGTCTTTGAAAAATTGTTATTCGAATAAATATTATCAATCATTAATTTTATAATAAATTTTGTGTTGCAACGATTTCTTTCGCTCATTAAAAGTGAAATCTATCTACTTTCTTTACACTAGCATTCTGAGTTTCTCTTTCCTTTAATTGCAATGTGTTATAAATATCTTGAAAAAACTGTTATTTCGATAAATATTATCAGCCATCAATTTTACAATAGATCCTAATTATTTGAAGTTATTATCCTATATACCATCCTTATTATTTACTCTATCATTCTAAACCATTTTTTATTTCTGTAATTTTCTTAGATCATTTTCCAAATGATCGTTTTCATTGAAAAACATACAATAAATTCTGTTCTAATCTATTTTTAGCAATCATTGTCTCCCCTGTTCGATAACATCGATGATGTTATCTCAGAGGAGCCTAAGCGGAGTAATTGATGGCCGTCGAGCCGCCCGTCAACGCGTGTAACCGATTTCTTGCAGGGATTAGAGAGATGCCCGACAAGACGTTTAGATGAGCGACGATTACGCAATGATTCGTGACCGATCTGCACACGCGTTGGATCGCAGTGATCGTCCGTAATGCGATTATACGCCTGATTATAGGTTCCTCGTAATTGGATCGTTTCTAAACTAGAGTTTAACTGGGTTAACCTTTACCATGAAATACCTCGTCACGGAGAAATTCGTCGCAACGGCAAGTATTTCGTTCAAAGGAATCGACTGCGATTCCATCTTTCCTTCGCGCTCCTCCTTTCCTTCGGCCCTGTGACTTTATCATCCTAACATTATCCGTATCAGCATATCAAAGTATCGAAATTATCCTCTGGATGCGAATCTTTACACACGGATTACACGCGTATCATCAGTCAATAAATAACAAATTTTAGAGCTGGAATATAAACCATAAATCCGCATCTCCTCTTCTCGCCCGCGGCCGCTTTTCATTTCGCAACAATTACAATATATTGTCAATATAAATCACATAGAATAACAGATCGATAGACTACCAGCTGTCACTTGCTAAAGATAACATTCGTCTTTAATATTTATTTAATATATTGACATTTCTGTTAAGTTATCGTATTTGATAAAATCTTTTTCACATATCTTCACGCAATTGTGCAACAGTTGCAAATGAAAACACACCTGACATCTCACACGTATCGTAAATGCTCAAGTATAAACTTTAAAAATATATTTATCTCTAAATAATATTCGATTTTAGAAGAGAAAATTTTAAAAAAAGATATTCTTTGGATTACTGAATTTATATATTATACTATATATAATTATAAATATAATTATATATGCAGAGTTTAATAATCTAAATTATTAAATAGCAAGTGATATAAATAGTAGTGCATATATTAACAACCTTTAGACTGCAGTTTAGATTTATTTTTGAAAAAATAAAATTTCACCTATTTTTGCTCAAATTTCAATTTTTTTAATAAAGATTTTTATATTCAAGTCAAAAAATTATTTAATAATATAACAGAAATGCTCGAAATTAAACCTAACCTAATTTTTTTTAAGCATAGAACAGTAAAAAAACTTAGACAAAAAAGATTCAAATTATAAACGGATCCCCCAATATATTGGGAAATGAAAAGAAAACGTGAATATCGTATTTGCATAGAGAGAGAGAGAGAGAGAGAGAGAGAGAGAGAGAGAGAGCAATAGGAAACATGTTGTAAACGATAATATCGAGTTCCATAATAATAGCGTTCATCCGTAACAACCGCAAAACAGCGCGATCAAAATCTCTTTTACTGATAAACATGCACACACGCGTGCGAACACGCGGAGAAATCAACAGCGGTTACACATTCGACTGTTAACTGATAATTGGTTTACATATCATTTAAATCGGTCGCCCTCGCCCGCTATCGCGGCATAATAGATGTTATCGGCGTTGCGTGGCTCGCTTAGGAAATCAATTAATGCAGCTACCTCTCGGCAGATTTGTGTCAATCACATTGAGAGGTCACACAATGTGACGAGAGATATATCGCACGATTTAAACGTTCATGCACTTCTATGATTCTACAAAATCATTATCCTAATTGGGCACAGTTATGTAAGAGGATTCTAGGAATGCTATTCATCGATTACAGTCACTTCCCGAGAAATAAAGTGCTATCTTGTACAAAAAGTGCAAGCGAAATATCAGCGTGATATATTTTTTTCTGGCTTATCATTTACATCAAATGTTATTTAACATAAATGCAAGAGTAAACTTTGTTTTATTATTTATTGTAAACAGAGGATTATTATCTATCTATCTCTCATTATACTTATTTATATTTCGATCTAATTATATTCAGTTATGAAATTCCGCAATTTTAAAATTCAGAAACTTGTTATATTGAAAAATATGTATACCTTTAGATAAAAAGTGATAAAAGTTACGGAAAAAATTGTTTTGCTGAAGTATATCTAAAAATGTAGCTAAATATATATCTGAAGATAATTTTATTTGGACCATTAAAGCAAGTATATAAGACAAAGTGTTGGTTACTAGAATGTTGAAATTTTCTACAACATTTTCTACTACATCAACGCTTAATTAACTCTTTGTCTGCAATCATATTTTTACTCCCTTTTTACAATCTGGATTTTTTAAACTAACCTAAGCTATTTTATTATTTTATTTTAGACTTTCAAAGAAAGTGCTGTAACAAATTCAGGATTTTTTTCAACATTTCTATTACATTAATACACGGAATGCAAGAAAATTCGACTTCCAGCCGAGGTAATATTTTTCGCAATAAATTTATTACAGTTTTTTAAGATTAAATTTGGGAAATTTAAGGAGATTAATATTTCAGATTGATTGCGTTGAAAGTCTGACAATCATATCGGCACACAATTATCATTTCTGAAATTAATTCATTTATATAAATATATATAATAGTTCATCATCTTAAACATTCAAAGCGCTTCGTATTTAATCTATTACATTAACAAATACAATAATTTACTCGATTATCTTAAAAAAAGGAATTCTCTTTTATCAAGGTTACAAATTTCTCATCCTAAAATTCCATAACTTTTCCTTGATTTTCAAATCGTAATTTTCCCTTTTTAAATAATATTTTAAAATTTTATATATTCGTCCTGATTTGGAAATCGTTAAATATTTTATTAAGAGATCAATTTAACATAATGTAAATTATTATTAATATTGCTAACACTGCTCGTATTTTTAATTAGTAAGTTGGTTATTTCAAAACTATGTAGATGTGTACGTAAGTATGTATATTAAACTTCTATACCAAGAATCTTAAATTTTTAGAAAATGCAAAATTTCCTGATATTTTTTTTCCCCTAATTTCTAATTTAAAAATAATTCTGTTTATTTCGGAGAAATTTGAGTGAAATTTTGTGTCAAAAACATCCAGATTGCATATGAAGGATTAAACGTTCTACATAATTATTTTAATTCAATCAAATTATTTTCAGATTTGTAATACATTAAAAATTAAATTTTTAATGTATTAAAATTTTTAATACTGCAGCAAAACTGTTCTTTCCATACTATATTTACCATAGTATATTTTTATTAAAATATCTCACAAATAGGCTTTTATTTTTCACCTAATTTACTCGCGCTGCACTTCGCCGCACTTAAGTAACGCGATAGTTTCAAACGTCACTTTAAAAAATGATCGGCATGATGTGACCAGATAATTTGAACTGTACGCGAGAGTTTGATTGCTTGGGGAACGTCTAATTCCCAGTCAGTGCAGTGGCGGCGCGCTTAAATAGTTTAGGGCACCGCATAGCTCAGCAATCGGCGCGCGTCTCCTGGCCGATAAATTCCCATATTGGTTTATGTTCGCTGGCACAAACACACAGACGGTACGTGGGAAATCAATTAAAGGAAGCGCACGGAACATTTCGACGGGAAACAATGGACCAGTATTTATGAGTCGCGGCCACACGCGACGAGGAGTCAAATCGAGTCGTCCATTTCGACCGATGGGATCGCTCGGGTTGTTTCATTCCATTGTTGCACCGTTTATTGTAACTTTTTTTTTTGCAAAAATCCATGTACTCGCACACACAAATGTAATCTGTACTATTTTACTGACAAAAACACGATGGGCGTGTTTTGCGTAATCGCGTCAAAACGAGGCGTTGTCGAAGAGAGGAATGAAGTTTGATTTACTCGCGATTTATGTCGACATCGTGCGTGCGATAGATTTTCGTCCATTTGTACGCCTTTCGCGCTGGTTAACAATTTAACGCTTCGATGGCTGCGCGTTAAATGTTAGTGGGATTAATGACATCCGTTCATTACATCGTTAAGCGATAATGTATGCCGGCAGACTATCTTGTAGAATATTTTATTAATTATGGGATTAATATACGTCGATATGAATATTAATACATATCATCGCGGTATCACGATCTCGTTCAACAACCATGTATAATGTATGTTTAATTCAACGAAATAGATTCACCGCATGTAACTTCCCACTCTCGAGCAGTACGTACTGGCGCACGTACGTGCAATATTTCGCGAGGTCTCGCGGACACTATACGTAAAATTTGTACAGCCCTTATCGATTTCCCGTAAATCGGAGTCACGCACAGATGCGCAAAACGAGTGACTAGGGGTCAGCAAGATAATGCATCTACATCAGTGCACTACCGTAGAGTGATTTAGTGGTGGTTACCCGAACTCTCTCCCCTCGACAATGAGTCACTGTTTCTCCTCCATCAAATACAATACCTACTCCGTAAGTGCGTCTATACGCCGAAACGATCGAAGAGTGATATGGTAAGCTATGATTTACAAGCGCAACTTTTGCAGCGTAAAGTCGTACAATTTTCAACTCGCCAACCGGAATTTACTACACGAGAGCTTCGAGAGATTTTATAGCGTTCCACAAAGATAAACATCACACTAATTTCATCCCTTCGACTACTAAATTCTTCTTGTACATTTTTCGTGAAAACGATTTACTAAATGTAATCTATTAGAAAAATAACTGCCAATTTAATTCGTATTTTAAAGTTTTTATATTTAGTGATAAATCTCTATTGACTTCCTAAAAATTTGTGTTTCTATAATCAATCATTCGCTCTCTTGCAATCAACAAATTTTATAAATCATCAAATTATATATGACTGATTACATAACGACCTAATAAACAGAAAATTAATTTATAAAAATAGATATTTATTTAATATGTATATAAAAAGAAAGATTTTGTAGAAATACTTAAAAATTTAGTCAGATACAGAACTAAAAATAATTTTGTTTGCACCATCAAAATAATTATGTAAACCTCTCAAATTGATTGAAAACATTTCTAAAATATTAGAACTTATATACATATATATGTATATAAGTATAATATGATACTCATGATGCCAAAGCTGTATTTCTTTTATAAATATATGATTTCTGTATATTCATCAATAAACATCGATCTTACCAGATTTATGTATCATATTAGATAAGATACGCTGATATAATCATCTGATATAACACAGCAGAGATATAAATTCCAAGCATGGCACGTGTTAATTACGTCGTGGCGACTTGACTGTCGCCCTTCTTGGTGGAAGGATTCAGGTGCATCCCGATCACCAGCTCGACATAATCGAAGATCACGATGACGCGAAAAAGCAACACACAGGCTTTCTTCGTCGTCGACAGACGGAGTATGGAAGTTTACCTATGGAGGTTTACCGAGACATTCTGCGTCCCGTTGAGTATGTGGGTCGCGAAATGCCGTGCTCGCTAAATATACATCGGCGAGAAGAAGGGGAACGCGAGCGATGAAGATGGAGTCACGAGCATTTCTCTCTCCTTGAGAGGCTCATTTACCTTCCAAGCAAAAGGTCTGTTTCCTCTCGCAGCACACAGAGTGCTCCAGGCACAGTTCTCCGCGTTTTCTTTTATCAGATTCCCCTCCACCGTTAATTTACTTTGTAATATCTAATATCTTTGTAAGTAAACTTCTGACAAAAGTCAGTTTAGACGATAAGTTGCCGTTATCTATTCGCATTGCGATAATCTAGTACACTTGTATCAATCGCCTGTAACTCGGAGATAAGTAGTGCCGCAACATTTCTATTAGAGATAAGTTAACGCCAACAGATCAAGTCTGACACCCCGTATATGCCACGCTTTTTTTCTCCCACGTTCTTTCTATCCGATGATCGAACGGTCATCGTCGTCTCCTGAAGTGGCTCCCATCGCCGAGAAATCGATTCGTCAATCTGTCGCGTCGGGACCTTTGGCCTCGCCGGCGAGGTCGGCATCCGTGCTATTCACGTGCCTTAACGAAAACCTCGTGACATCGAGATCGAGGTCGTTCTACAATATATCGGTGCCATTTATCCTACAATGTATCGGTAACATCTAACAAGAAAATCCATTTAATCCATGCATGCCTCTCTCCGATTTTAGTGAGCTTTGAATATGTTGTCTTCTAGACAGAATGGGACACGTATTTTTTTTTATAAGGGCCCAATCGTACTTTTATGGGCGACAACATACCTTTGAAAACAAAATCGATTACCTTTCGAAACGAATATCATCATAACAAAAATGTTCTGAATAAAATTAAATGATTTGAGAAGTACTTTATAATAAATTTACAAAAATTGTAAATAACAGAAAATAAAAAGTTTTTTAAATTATAATTATTAAGTACTCTTTCAAAACTATTCAATTTTTATTTCAAATTTTTTTCTATTTCTGATAGTTGTTTCGATGATATTCACCTCGAGAGATAATAACCGATTTTCTTCAAACATGTGTTGCACTCTCTTATTAAAATAATACGTATCCCTTATTTTTGTCTAGAAAATAAAAAATTCTAAGCTTATCAAAATCGAAGGGAAATATTTCCATGGGTTTTCTTGTAAGTAGATATGCTAATAGTTTGGTACTTTCTATCCTGCACTTCAATACGTCGAACACGTATCTAACAATGTAGTGTTCGCCTTAATAAATTCCTTATTGTATATTTCCATTTTACATATATTCAAATTCTCTCTACATTCTATTCTAAATTTATTCCAAAGAAATTACATTTCTTTATTGTCCGAATTTCGTATGGACGCACAATAATACCTTTTGCATTATGCAAAACGAATCTGTCGTTAATTTCCATATGAATCTAAACCTGTCAAAAAGTCGTTTGTACCAGATTTTACGGAGCATGCGATTCAATTCACTTATTCTATCCTGGCTACAAATAAATATCGTCGTAATATCGAAGTTCAATGTTGCAGATTTCTACCCATCACTGTCATACTTCTGTTTGTTTTTTCCACAAATCGACAAAAATTGAATCGCTTGTAAACCAATGGAAATTCGAGAAAACACTAGTACACCACACACACAGATCGCACACAGAAATCTACTGCATATTTCTGTTTCTACTCAGTGTTAACCCTTTGACGGCGCTGCGGTAATTTAACGGGTTCACGGCGTACGTTCCCTTTGTGCGCAACACACAATGCAGTCTTCCATATTGCGTCGAGTAGCCACGAGGTGGCCATAATTAATTCTCACGGGCGAATACGCGCGATAATTTATGACCGATAACGCAATTGTCCTGATCGCGTTGATCACCGTTACAAAATAAAAATAAATCGATAAATAAAATTTTCACACTACAGTTACATCATTACGTTTTTTAATGTAAAATACTAGAACAAGTGAAAAATAATGTCGATAGTATTTAAAATCCTATAAAAAAAAATGTGTTTCAAATTTCTCTGCTTTTATCAATAAAATTTTCTATTATAGAATACGTGTCAATTAAATAAAATATCAAAATTATCGATACCATTTTAATTTTACAGGCAGTAGGAATATTTTAAATTTTAAATCG